CTGTCGGCCTCTTGGCAACTTACCAGACCAGTTTTCTTCTTGTCTTTTTCTTGTCAAGTTTGGACGGACGTCCTGTTCTTGCTGATGTTACTGTTGTGGCACTTGATGGTGACAGTCTTCACAGTGTCCCATGGTATATTTAATGAACTGGAAATTCTTTTGTAGCCTCTGAAAATAGCCACACTCCCAGCTCTAAAAGGTGTGCACACTTATGCTGCAGTGAAAATACGTCATTTTCACTGCAGCTCCTTGGAAGATTTCTGTTTGTTTTTCAATTTCATTGCAAAAATGCTTGTCTTGCTGAAATAAAACCTGGCATTTGAACAGGGGTGTAGACTTTTTATAACCATTGTAACTCTAATCAAACAATTAAAAAACGACCTAACTACTAGCAAACAATTAAAAACGACCTAACTACTAAGCAAACAATTAAAAAACGACCTAACTACTAAGCAAACAATTAAAAAACGACCTAACTACTAAGCGAACAATTAAAAACGATCTAACAACTAAGCGAACAAGTAAAAAACGACCTAACAACTAAGCGAACAAGTAAAAAACAACCTAACAACTAAGCGAACAAGTAAAAAACGACCTAACAACTAAGCGAACAAGTAAAAAACAACCTAACAACTAAGCGAACAAGTAAAAAACGATCTAACAACTAAGCGAACGAGTAAAAAACGAACTAACTAGTGAGCAAACAATTAAAAACGAGCAAATGCTAAGCGAACAAGTAAAAAAATCCCTAACTATCTAACTAACAACTAATTAAAAATTCACCCCACTACTTCAATCGATGCTCCACAGGCGTAACCTCATCAAACCTGGAGACTCAAAATCCTCTCCCAGTGAGGTCTTCGCGTTAACGAAGGCCTCCCTGGGTAATCCAAATTTTGACTCCAGTTCGACTCGATAGGCCTGAGAGTCTTTGGCTGATGGGATCTCTGGATAGGTGTCCAGATCTATGATGTCCGACACATCATCTGGAGGAATGTCGGGCTCCAGAGTTGAGATGTCACACCTGGCGTCCACTTCCAAAGAAGAAATCAAGGCAGCCGTGGCCTTGGTCATGGTATGAGAGGGTCCAGGGTTTTCTGGGAGGTTCACTGGAGCAACTCGTGATGAATGTCTCCGAGCGAACCGCCTGAAAAAACCCTGGAGCCTCTCATTCAGGCCTTTGAGGAAAGATCTCGGCTCGACCGGGCGGACGACTTTCTTGGATTTCTTGCCAGATGCATGCAATCGGACAAAAAGGTCCTTAACCATGCCTTTGACTTCATCCACCATATCACTGATCAAGTCATCAACGTGATTGCTGCGTTTGTTCTCAGAGTCAGAGTCTAAGATGGAATTGACTCTCTCGACCACATACCGGACAATGAGACGGTTTAAATTGTCCGTGCGTTCGGTGTGGAAATCTCCACCAACCTGGATGACCTTAGCAAAAGCTTCCGGCAACTTGTTGCCAACCATCTCTTCGATCTTGGAGTTGTCGATCGGAACACTCTCAAGAGCGTTCGCAACAAACAGCTCCAAGATCTCCTTCAATATCCCGACCAGAACGCAGGTAGTGGTGCGAGCGGGGTCCCCTGTTGCCAGACGCAGGTACTCCATCCAGGTCAAGTTGATGAACAGTCGGTGCACCAGCCCCCTAAGGACGTTGACCGTGATGCGCTGGGTCTCAACAATTGGAGAACTCATTCTGCTTGCCAGGTTCGCTGGTTTGAAGAAAGGTTTGCTCTAAAGGCGAGATGAACAAGAACTAATCCGGGCTCTGAGACAAACGAGGGCGAACAGAGGGCTCGAGAAGAATGCAGTGCAAATAAACACCCTGACATTTGCGACGTCATAGACATCAAACCCGCCGAATTCTATGTTCTCACGTAATAAGTGACGTTTCCCAGGCTTATGGGAAAAAACTGTGTTCGAATGCCGGGTCTGCATCCGGGTCCTCCGAAGACCGCGAATATCAAACGACCGGAAGAGAGGAGCTGTGAACGGCTCGAGCCTCTAGCTAGCAAACACAACCGGACAAGTGGAAGCCTGATACTGCTTTTATTCGCTTTATTTCACTTTAAAAATGCTCGCAGGACGCTGCGCGGTAGGATGAAAAGCAAACGTGTCATTTTGTTGCGTAACATTAAACGAGAAACTAGGCGGCAGCAAAGGACGGCAGCTGTCAAACCTAACGACTGGCAGCCATTGGCGTGACAGCGAATTGTTTTCATCAGGTAGGAAGACGACCTCACCTTCTGCCCTTCACAATAAGAGTTTACATCCGGGTGTGAAATACATACATTATAATACGCCACAATATACTGTTTTACTAAATGTACTAAATACTTTACTACTAAATATCCTGGACATGGAAGGCAGCTCTCATTAACATAAGGAGGGTTTGAATAAGGAAAGGACAAAACAAAATATCTACTTTTCTTGACTCTTAAATGCATCTTTAGGGGTGTTATGGAAAAATTACCATAATCTGCTAGTCATGTTATATGAAATGTTTGTGAACTCTCACCAAAAAAACTATTTGAGTTTTTTGTACGAGGTTGGATGACATTTTGATAAAAATAGCACTTAATGTCCTTTTGAAATTAATAAAATATTCCTGAATTGAATTGAAGTTAAATTCAGTTCAAAAATATATTCTCATAAGAAAATTAGATATAGTGTCAGGTAACTCAGATTACTGTTAATAGCTGGGGCAGAAATAATCGCATGCAGGTGTTCTTTTTTTCTTCAAATTTTTCTTCTATTTTTCTTTAGAGCAAAGTACAGATTACCTTTTGCACATTACAAAAAGAATATAAAACATGTAGTCGCATACATCTACATATGTTTATATAAAATTACACAATAAATAAAACCAAAAGAAGAAAAAAACAAGCAGAAGAAAAAACTAAATAAAAAATATGTAGCTGTGTCAAAGAAGTCTCTGACTTTGACACTTTTGTTGCATTTCTGTGTTTTAAAGAGAATGCACAGAATATCAATGAAGCATTTCTCTGTGTTACTTAGTTGTTGTTGGGTTTTTTTTTTTAGATGTGTCGTTCCTTATGTTCTATTTTACATCTCTCTTTCCATTGGAATTATTTTCTTGTTTCATTACCTCTCCTTAGCTGTCTTCGAAGGTATTCCTTCCACTCCCTGAAGGACATTCCCGATCTGATGAATGACCTGGCCTTCCTCATCCACATGCTGGAGCAGAACGACCCGCTGCTGGTGCAGCGCCTCTCCATGTTCCTGTCGCCGGTCAGCGAGAGCAGACTGTTGGAGCAGAGCCTGGAGAGGCACTGGGGAGAAGAGAAGCTCCAGGCTCTGAGCAGCGTGGACGCGGAGGGCTGCAGCACCCTGCAGCTCGTCGCCCTGCCTCGCCTCCCTCCGGCTCTGTTCACCCTCAGCCAGCTGCACGCCCTCAAACTGGAGCTCATCGCTGACGCCAAGTTCACTTTGCAGGTGGAAAACATGACTTCACTCAGGTGAGTTGTACAGGGAATCAGACGCACTTCCTTTACCCTAGGGAAGAGAATCGGGTCCATTGAAAAAAGTCCAAACTTCATCTGGATAATTTTTCTCAGAATTCTGAGACTAAAATTCAGAATTTTGAGAAAAACTGCAGAATTCTGACAAGAAAAAAATAGAAATTCTGAGATTAAAGTGAGTTTTTTTTCCAGGGACCCTGATCAACTTCCATATGTCCCATAAACCCTTGCTATGATTCCCACAGACACAGGGAGCTCCACTGCCCGGCGGCTGTGGATCCCGGTGCGCTCGCAGTCCTCCAGGAACGCCTCGAGGTTCTCTACATCACCTTCTCTCAGGCGTCACAGATCCCCAGTTGGGTCCTCTCCCTCCGCAACCTGCATGAGCTCCACCTTTCGGGTCGCTTGGGCAGCGAGGGCGGCGTGGGTCACGGCTGGGCCGTGGGGAGCCTGCGGCAGCTCTGCCACCTCCGCGTTCTGGTGATCCACGGGATGCTGGACAGGGTTCCGTCAGAGCTGTGCGAGGTGGCAGGAAGCTTGGTGAAGCTGGAGATACACAACGAAGGCGCAAGGCTGCTTGTGCTGACGGAACTCAAGCGAATGGCGGACCTGACAGAACTCCGGCTGCTGGTAGAGAGGTGGCTCTTCCTCTAATTGCCTCCACACATCAGGGACTTCCTGAGCCGTCCTTACGCCACCAACGAGGGACACCTTGAGGATCAGTCCAGGCCAGAGTCGGACACTTTCCCGTACTCTCCCACTCAGTGGAGTCACAGATATAAAGTTTAAAGATGACTGATATAACCCTATACACCTAAATTTACAATTTTAACTAAACTTAGTATACTTCTGCACTATGTAACTTTTATGAAAAATATTAAATAATTTTCTTCTTTTTTAATGACCCATTGGGGATTGCGTCAAACACAACAGCATTTTCTTTAGGAGTAACAGGAAGTTGGAAAAGTAACAAAGTCAGAATAAGACAATAAATGACCATTTGGATTTAGTAACTGGCTTACAAGTAATATTTCCCTATTAAACCATTTTCTACAAAAGATTGTCTTATAATTTGTATTTAATGTCTTCATTATTCCAGATATAATATTTATGAGGAGTTAGCTAACAACTTATCAGGTTGAGGAATGCACATGAGTCATTGAAGTTATTGAAGTGCAAAATTGGACACACGTGTTCGATTCCTCTGCAGCCAATGGCATTAGTGAATTAGTTTATTAAAAAAAAAATCTTATGAAAACGGTAGCTGTATTTTAAAGTTTGCTTACAAGAAGGAGTGAAAGTGTGTTTTTAGCCCCGTGATGCTCATGCGTCGCTGCGTTTTAATCCAGTAAACATGTCGTTCCAGAGTTCCTCTGGATTACAGTAAAATGTTCACCAAAAAAAAAAGAAAATTCAACCGGACACACACATTATGTTGAACCAGATACAACCCTATACACATATTTTGTTTTCAAACTCCACTGACTTTTATTTGCAACAAAACAAACGACAAACCATCTAAACTATTTATTTTTTTTATTCATCCATACAGTTTCCCGAACTCCTCCCACACTTTGGGAACCACTGGAATAGAAGAACTGAGGGTATACTAATTTGTAAATAATTGAAAAAATTTCCAAGTCTAGCGTAAGAAAGTGAATAGCCAAAATCAGAAGAACATGGATGACATAATGTTTCTGAAACTCACTTCATGTAAATTTTTGAGAGAGAACAGTTTCACATATTACAAATGTGAAGCATAAATAAATTATGATCAGCACCAGGGCCAAGTTTCAAAAGCTGATTGGTGGACAGGCTAACTAGTCTTAGCATTCTTAACAGGTTCCGTTGTGAGAAACTGGTGGCATGATCACAAGCTTGATTGACAGCACTGAAACCCTCTTCCTAGCTCAGACTGTGTTTCTTCACATGGCAGGAAGGAAGCAGAGGAGCTCGACTTTTTTTTCTTTTTTTACACATTGTTGCATATTCTGCTATCATGACATTTATAACAAATATGTTTTCTAAAAGTTACCTACTTCATCTCTAAATAAGTAATTTAACTGAATTGTGTTGGTTACATACAGCTGCTGATTTGACAAATGAAAACAATAAATGGGTCAAAAATGGCTCATAATAGCTTATGCTAATCTTCATCTATGTTTTAATAGATTTCACCTATAAAAGTTTGTAAAAGCTCGTAATTATAATTAACAACAGGATTAATAATGTATGTACATTTAAGATTTTATGTAGCAAAAGAAGTTCCTTCTCTGGCTGCAGTCTCTGCTGCTGAAGGATGAGTTGCCGTTCTTCTCCAGGACTCCACACCTCTCAGCCGGGCAGCTTGGAATGTCCTGGTCCTGCACCGGTTCTCCACCCACCCAGACCCACTCGTCACCAAGGTAACGCAGGCCCGTCCACATCTACCAACATGTAGCAGGAAGTCAACGTAAACACTGAGGATGAGTTGGTAAAGAACACCGGAGAGCAAACAGCGACCCACCTCCTCAGTGGTTGCCAGTTGGGCTTTCTCTTGTGCAAAGTGGTTGTCGTCGTCTGTGGAGAGGGTCGCCAGGTCGTAGCTGTGGACTTTGTTCAGAGTCCTGCAGTGCTCCAACGCCTCCTCCCAGGTTTTATTCTCCTTCACCAGAGTCAGTGACTCATCGTAGCACATGAACGTATGTTTCTGATCACACTCGCCATTCCTCCACTTGCTGGTAAACGACTCCTTATAAGCGCAGTGTTCGTTTGAGTCTGGTTCTACAAGAAACAGTGGGGAAACATATTCTACCGATGAAATCTGGAGATCGTTCAGCAAATTACGACACTGACATGAAGACGGCTCAATTTCATGTTAAGCTCCAAAGGCACTGGAGTCACCCGTTAAAGTAGGAGAGAATGAAATGAGCTGCAGCACTTGGTTCAAGGTCAGAATCAAGCTTTCACGTATGGAGCGCCCACTCTACCATCAATCAGGCTGCATGTTCACTGGTCAGAAAACCAGTTACTCTCTTTGATACAGTTACTCTATTCAAGTTCCTTTAGAGGTTCCTCTTGTATTTTATAACACAGTCAAGTAACTATGTTACCTTCAGTTGTAAGAATGTATTATATGTCAAATATAACTTAAAAGAAATTTGACATTGTAATTTAACGCCTTGGAATTGGGCCACTGTCTCTTTAAAAACTCCTGCCCTTTCTGAATGTCCGCCTTCAGAAAGTCATCACAACATGGCTCCTCTGACTGTTCAACAATGTTTTTACCAGTGTGGCACTGAGAAGTAGCTCATATAATGAGCTGAGCAGATTTGCAGTCCCAACAGGTGTTTGCTAATTGCTGCTGGCTAGTCTGAAGGAGCTGGATGGAGGAGTTGAGAGGGAGAGGTGCTCCCTCTCAAAGTGGAAGTCTGAAAACTGCCTTTCAGAGGACAAGCTTTATCTTCAAGGGGAATAACATTATGATATGACGTAAAGCTCAAAACAGTCAATTTTACATTTACTGCCCCTTTAAGAACTCCAAATATATTGTCCCAAAAATGAGCCCTCCTCCACGAATCATATAAATGCTAGTCCAGGTGAAAACCTGCTCTGCAAGCACACCTTTGAGTTTGAGGGAAACTGGACGATTCCAGCAAAGCGCTTGATAATGGAAATAGGAATTTCTGCTTTTCAGCTAAACGTATGCTTTTTTGGTTTATGTAGAGAAAGCTACATCCATGTAGATTGTTTGGAGAAAATATTTCTTGGACAGAACAAACAGAAAAGCATTTAGTTAAAAAATAAACGATCTTCAAGTTGTCTGACTTGTCTCTTTCATTACGTGAACTGTGACGTTTTCCTTACCGTGGACGTCCCAGTTGAAGAAGGTTGCTATTTTGTCTTTCGTGGACCATTTCCATGGGCTTGTGTCGTTCTCTCGGTACAGTCCAAGCCAGCTTTCGTACCAGTAGAACTCCCTGATTTCCATTTCATTTCTGATTGTGATCAAATCATCGTGTTTCTCCCTGCAGAAAGACTGAGCTGCTTCCCATGTCTTCATGTAAGAGTAGTAAGAAACCTTTCTCTGTCTGAGGCCCGACGGCTGCACACAGGCAAGATGGGAGGCGAGTAGCAGGAAGAAAAAGATGCAGATGTTCCTCATCTTGAATCTGCTGCACTGATCTCCAAGTACCTGAAGAACATAATCAGTTCTATTACATCATTTCAGTGAAATATTCAGCATTTTTCACAGAAAGAGAGAAATATTGAATTGCTGCAAGCAGCTGAATTTCAAAAATGAAGCAATCATGCAAAACATTCATTTGCTGTCAACTGACTATTTTTAATTGCTATAATGAATTCAAAATGTGTGGAATTGGACAGTGTACAAAAAGACTGAATTATATTTATTTGAACCAAATTGGATTAATGCTATTTGGGCATAATTGAGACCAATTTGGGTAAATCGGTCTAATAAGCCTTATAATACAATCCACCCAACTGTCAGTGTGCTGTTAAATCTGTTAAAAATCTGCACAAAACTTTGCAACAAAAAACACAATTTTCACAATTGCGATCTTTCCTAGATAAGAAACGCAATGTAAATAATAAGTGAATAAGTTTCTTAAAGCAATAAACATGCTGCACCAGTATTCTCCACTTCTTGTTGTCTTTTTTTTCCTTTGAATTTTTGATTCCACAACATCACTGTATAACAGTATAAAGAGGAAATGTCTCTATCCAGAGTTAGTATTGATTTATGTTCCCAACATATGGAAATGTTAAAATAAAGAAGAAATGATTAGGGAGGGGGGGATTTAAACAGGATTTCACTTTGAACAGTTTTGAGAGAAAAGCATCCTTACTCACCTGAAGGTGCAACAGAAAAGCAGCTTTGACCCTCAACTTCAGGTAATGATGATTCTCAGCCTGTTGACTCAGTTAAGAATCTCCAGCAACCAATCAAAGCAAAGCATTCAACTCACCAATCATGAGGATGAGGTCACCACCCTGCTTCCCTCGCTCCTCGCTATTCTGCTTTGCATCTCGTCCTGAATCTTCTCACAGCGGCAGATGTAGAAAAAGAATCCAAGAAAAAAAAGTTCTGTCATGTTAGCTAGTGGCTAATACTCTGTTACAGCTGGACCCGTTTTCTAGCCATCTTTTTTGCTACTTTATGTTTTACTTTTTACTTATTTTCTTTTTTTGTTATCTAATAATCCTTTGACTAGACTCATTAGGTGCTATTGTATTTTTATACAAATGCTTTTTTAATTGCCTGTGAAGTTAGGTTTGAATGGAACACATTCAAATTCATGTCTGTCATCCCTCTCCCTAAGCTGTCATGATTTGGTTTCTTGTTCACCACACCCAGAATATAAAAACATGGAGACTTTTAATAATAATTTAAAAAGTGAACTTGCACAGCTTTCACAAAGGGGGAAAAAGCTAAGTTTAGACAAGCTAATAGATAATTCTGGTAACTCCAAGAGCAACGAGTAAATTCAGCTCAACTTTGAGAAGTATCCAACAAAACTGAGAAGGTATTTCAGTTTCTGCTCAAGTCAGTGGTGCCTCCAGGACTCTTGGGCCCCCATGACAAAAAAAAAAAAAAAAACTCAGTTGGGCCCCCCAGACGCAGCTGCTGTTAAAATGTTTTTAATCTATCTGACCCATCAAAAGCGTCCCAATTTTAAAGTCTTGCTTTCATTGGTCCAACACTGATGACTAAGACAATATTTACTGCTCATGAATTTTACGTGCAACAGTTCACACACAGTATGCAAGTAGGTTGCTTAATTTGTTTCTATTAGTTTTAGATGCTGAAATGTCTCTGCCAATGAGCAACTGAGTGCTTTTTGGTCTGGGAGAGGTAATATTTATTTTTTTCTGCTAAAAACAATTTTAGAAAACACAGCATAATTAATTTTGTAATTGACAGGGCCCCATTTGTTTTGTATTTATTTTTATGAACAACAACAACAAAAAATGTGGAGGTGAATGGTCATAAGTTTCCCCGTTTGGTGTTGGCACAAGTCAACACCAAACCATTGATCACCCACTCACTGAGTGAACTGGAAAAGTCAGGCCATTTGCATTTTTGAGGACGACCCTGACCTTGGTGATGGATTGATATTGGCTACTGTCTAAATTTACAGTATTTGCATAAATGATAATAATCATTTGGCTTCCAGTTTCCTACTCATTTGCTTAATGGGATCTAAGGAAACACTGAACAATTGGTTTGCATTTGGTTAATGAACTTTTGCTCAAAGAAACTTTGTTTTATTTCCTAACCACTCTTGGGTTCACAGCCTCACCCGTCTACCTCACAATATCTGTTATTATTGAACTGATTGTTTATATTCAGACGTGGGTAGAGTTCTCAAAAAGAACGATATGTTGAAGCAGAGTAAGAAAAGCACTGCTGCAACATATTTTTATTCAAATAAAAGTAAAAAGGAGCCGTCCCAAAAGTTATTCAAGTACGAGTAAAACAGTGTTTGATAAAAAAGCTACCAAAGTACAGAGTATCAAATGTAAAATGTAAAAAAAAAATAAAAATAAAATGGACCAAAATATGCAATTATGTGGAAAGTTATGTTGGTATTTTAAGGACCAAAATGAATCATAAAAATAACATTAAAGCTGCAAGCAGCCTCGAGCGGCCCTCGCAGCCAAGCGCCGCTCCGGCCTATTGGCCACCGCAGAGTACTAGCAACCGCCGCCCGACGCCAGCCACCACAGAAGCTCTCACGCAGTTTTCAGCACCTCCGCCCGCACCGCGGAAGCTGTTGCTCAGTTTCCATCAACGCTGCCCATGTTCCAACACAGAAGTTGTTGCGCAGTTTCCGCGCCCGTCCACCAGGCGGTACGCATTGATGCGTTCGACGGCGCTCCTTGACGACGCAAAAAAATGTGGTGCAGATTCATGGGTTTAGCGAGGAAATATAGCTGGCGGATTAATGTAGGGGACACAGTGGAGTCAAAATACATTTCAATGCTGTTGTGCTCTTTAGAGGTCAACAAAGGTCATACGTATCCAATTTGGCGCCAGTCGGATGATCCATGTGTCATTTAGAGCCGATGGTATGTACATGGCGAAGAACTGCATTTCGTCATTTCTACACCCCAATGCGGTTCGGTCAGCAGCCAGCATTTTTAGTCAGTATTCACATGATGAAACCCATATAAATTATAGAATAACAGTAAAATATACAGCAGAAAAAACATGACTGCCTCTTAAAAGTGGGCGGGACTACGGTGAGGTCATCAAGTGACCATGGAAATGTGTTCAGGGCTGTTCTCTAGAAAGACAGAGGAAGTGTGATGCAGCTGTCATCTTGCATTTGGAAGTCATTTAATGTTGATGTTTCATGGTAAATAGTGAAAGTTTTACACTAAGTCACGGCCACATGCTTTGATGTGAACTACAACTGAGATCTAAATGCAGTGCAACTTTAACGTTATCGTAAAGTGAGTTAGGAAAATGGTAAAGGTTAAAATGTACCAGTTTAATAAACCGTACTGTTCAGTAATAAACCAAGGGCAATGCACATTAATAGAGCACAGTTAACTTTCAGCACATTAGAACAATAGCACAGGCTGAATCCCATCCATTAATTAGGTATTGTTTGGGAACGAGAGAGCAGAGCTGGACAGCCGAGCCACTGATCAGCATAACACCGCTATAAACACCGTCCTAATGAGCCCTTCACAACAAGCATGCAAAAGTAATAAAACGAAATAACAGAAACCTTAAGCAACACGGCCATATTTTTCTAAAAGTAATTAATCTGAACCTGAACAGTCAGCTGAACTAGAACTCAGATACAAGAGCTGCTCTATTGTTGAGCTCTGAGCTCGTTGTGCTTCTTCAGGATTCTGAAGCAAAAAGTCTGAACTGTAATCTGTCCCCCCCACCGCGTTTATTATCCTTAACAATAAACACAAGTAATATGCTTAAAATAAGGCACAAACATTGTCCGTTAGAATCGCTGAGAAATGTTTAGATAATTAAATAGCAGATTTTTACAAGAAAAATGTCCGAGAATAATGCCTGCTAGCACACGCTAAAGCTAAAGTTAGCCACAAAGTTTAAAGAAAGTAAAACTCACCTTCATATCTGTGAATGTATAAGGAGGCGAACATCTTAAAACCTTTCTTCGGCTTACTTGTTGGGGCTTCGGATCGACGTACATTATTAATTGTTACCTTGGAAAAACATTTCAGCCGTTTTTCCCGAACGCGGAAGCTGAGGTGCAGAGAGGCTATAAAACTGCTCCAACTCCGGTCCAACAGAGCGTTCTTTCTCACGAGCGTGGTTCGGATTTGCAGCTCCAAAACCCAAGCAAAATGTTGAGCGTAGTCCGGTTCTGTCGCTCCAAAATGTACAGTCCACAGCGGAACACACCGAACCTCGACCATGAACGGCCGCCCGACTGCCAGTACGTACAGTACGTATTAGCAAAGCTACAGTACAGTGCAGTCCATCACAACCAATCAAATTGCTTAAATTTGATTTTACACTTGACTGACCAGTAAGGCAGAGACGACTGGAATTGATGCATTTACTTGCGGTAGTAAATAACAGTTATTAACAAAACGCTACATTTACTCCGTGTTTTAAGCCAACAAAAATTATCTGAGGGCTTACATATAACATTTCAGGTTAAATGTAACAGCTTTCCTTTTGGAAATCTCACGGCAGACGCGCTCGCAATGTTTTCATGGCCATCCACCGTCGATCTGTTTGTCATTGGTGGAGTAACACTGACCCCTGCTGACGCAATACTGGTATTGTTCTTCATCCTGTTTGTCTGCTGTTTCATTCGTGGAGTAAGACTGTCCCCTGCTGGCGGAATACTGATATTGTTCGTCATCCTGTTTATCCGCTGTTTCATTCGTGGAGTAAGACTGACCCCAAGGGGCGAATTACTGAAATGGTTTATAAACAGTTTTGCTGAATTACGTTTTCTTTTATTTCTAGCCAAAATTAATTAATATTTGTACTCTCACCCACAAAATAAACTTATATATAAAAAAAAACTTATAATACTATATATTTAAATAATTAATAACATAACATAACCTGTATTTCATGGGCTGCTGTTTTCTAGGGGGCGCTATAGAAAAATTAGGCCACGCCCTACAAATATTGTGATGGATTTCTGTCGGGGAGTCGATGAGGATCCATCCTTGTGAATTTGGAGCAGCTGGGCCCGAAAATGTGGAATTGAGAGCCAAACGTATGGCGATGGCGTTACAGGTCACTTCGCCACGCCGCCACGCCCACCTGCTCCATCGTAGCTGGTCGGGGTTGGAATCCTCAATACACCAACATGTCTTCTGTGTCTGGGCACAGTTTCATGTTGATGAGGTCAAAGGGGTCAGATAGGGACCTTTGACAGTAAAACATGACACTTCCTATTCTCAGGGGGCGTGGCCTAAGTGATGTCATCATTCGACCATAGGGTATTGTAGGAGACCCGATGATAATGAATCACAGAAACTTTGGTGCCTCTGTGAGTTTCTGTGTAGGAGATATAGCAGTTTATGTTTTTACGGCGAGTAGGTGAACTTTGACCCCTGCTAACCCCCCTTCAGCATACTCAAAAACTCACCGTTTAGATAACTTTAGATGAGACATGCCTTATGAACAGACTGACCGAGTTTGAAGCCGATCAATCGAAATCCCTAGGAGGAGATAGATCAAATATGAAGGCTGTAAACGGCAAAAATGGGGTCAAAAACCGAACTTGAATCCAAAATGGCCGACTTCCTGTGGGGTTTAGACCATGGCTCCAAGAGACTTTTTTGTACGTCCTGACAAGGTACACATGTGTACAAAGTTTCGTATTTGTAGGTTAAAGCATGGCTTGGGGCTGATCATTTAAAATTTTCTAGGGGGCGCTATAGAGAAATTAGGCCACGCCCACCAAATATTGTGATGGATTCCTGTCGGGCAGTCGATGAGGATCCATCGTTGTGAATTTGGAGCAGCTGGGACCGAAAATGTGGAATTGAGAGCCAAACGTATGACGATGGCGTTAGAGGTCACTTCGCCACGCCACCACGCCCACCTGCTCCATCGTAGCTGGTCAGGGTTGGAATCCTCAATACACCAACATGTTTTCTGTGTCTGGGCACAGTTTCATGTTGATGAGGTCAAAGGGGTCAGATAGCGACAGTTCACAGTAAAACATTACACTTCCTGTTCTCAGGGGGCGTGGCCTAAGTGAGGTCATCATTCGACCATAGGGTATTGTAGAAGACCCGATGATGATCAATCACAGAAACTTGGTGCTTCTGTGAGTTTCTGTGTAGGAGATATAGCAGTTTATTTTTTTACGGCGAGTAGGTGAACTTTGACCCCTGCTGACCCCCCTTCAACATACTCAAAAACTCACCGTTTAGATAACTTTAGATGGGACATGCCTTATGAACAGACTGACCGAGTTTGAAGTCGATCAATCAAAATCCCTAGGAGGAGTTCGATCAAATACGAAGGCTGTAAACTGCAAAAATTGGCAAAAATGGGGTCAAAATGGGAACTTCAATCAAAAATGGTTGACTTCCTGTGATACTTGCACTATGACATTAATTGTAAATTTTGAGCGTCTTGGGGAGCTCTACAAGTGTACCAAATTTCACGTCTCTACGATAAAGTAAGTGAATAGCAGAGGGTAAAAAAGGGTGTTTTTCCAATTTCTAGGTGGCGCCGTAGAGACATTTCTGTTGCAATTTTTACGACGACTTTAAAATACGTAAATTTTAAACAGGCTAAAGGCCTCTGCCAAGTTTGGTGAGTTTTTGAATATGATAAAGCCCCCAAAAAGCCAATTCATTTGGGTGGAAGAATAATAATAATAAACAGTAGGAAAACAATAGGCCTTCGCAGCGCTTAGCTGCTCGGGCCTAATAATTGCCAAATAACAAAATCTGAAAAAAATAAAACTGTGAAATCAATTGATTTCAGTATAAAACTTATGAAGTTTGAAGAAAAACTAAATGTGTTGCAGCTACAGCTCAACTCTGCTTGTGTTGAGAGAAATGTGTGTTTACTGCTGTTTTCTTGCTGTTCCTAATCACATGACAAATGAAACTCAAAGCTTTAAACTCATCCAGGAAAATCCTGTTACTGTCGTAATGAACTGGAAACTTAAAGTTCAAACAACAGAGCAACATCAGCAATGAAGAAGACGGGGAGCTCTAGGTAAGTGAGAAAGGGATGGATGATGGTGAGGGCAACAGCATGGAGTCCACACAGAAACCCTCATCAAGGATCACTGTGTTAGGAAGTTAAGTTCCTAAAACCTGGTACTGGTTCCTACTGAGCAAAGAAGCTCAGAAGTTCATCAGAACGGCTGCAGCTGCAGAGGCTGGTGAAGAGGAAACTCTTCAAACTTCTCAGTGACGCCGTTATACGAGTCAAGAGGAAGAGGAAAGCCATTCTGTCCTAAAATGATCTTTTTGTTTCTGATTTGCTTAATTTTGACAAAGTCTCTAGAAACCCTTGAACTGTTACCCTCCGTTTTTTCCACTGGTGACCTCATTACTGTTAATGTGGTTAAATTGAATCCTTTTACAACATCACCTGTATCTTGTTTCAGGGGCATCATGGAATATGTCATGTCATGTTTTTGAATTTGCAAACATCCAAATGCTGCAATGCTTCAGTGACAAACAAAACATTGCAGATCTCTGCTGCTCGTCAGACTCTTGTGTCTTTTGAAATGCTGTCTGTGTCTGGTCTCTTTTGATTCTTTGAGCAGCTAAATGTCAAAATACCAACATTAAAAAGACAAAGTCCGGTGGTCAAGTCAAGTCGGGTTTATTGGTGCAGCACGTTCAGCAACCAGGCAATTCAAAATGCTTCACATGATAACAACGTAGCCAATCAGGAAACCATTGAAAACAAACAAGCAACAAACAAAAAAATCAATTACATTTTGTCAAAAGTCATCATCAAAATCATTGCCATTATAATGTACTCCACTTTCCAACTGGTCTATTTGTAGAAAAATGCCGTAGGGTTAACTTTGCATGTATTATATTCTTGAAAACGTCATAAAGATCGATGGTTACAGACAGATTTGCTCGCTCTATTTCTATATCTGTATGTTGTGGGTACAGAAAATATTCAGATCCCTGTAAATGTTTCACTGTTTTCATTCAAATCAAAAAGCTCATCAATGTACACTCAGCATCACATCTTGAGAGAAAAAAACAGAAATGTGGAATTTTTTTGCAAACTTATTGAAAACGAAAAATGTAAATGGTCATAAGTATTCAGTGCTGTGAAACTCATATTTAACTCACATGCTGTCCATTTCTTCCGATCCTCACTGAGATGATTCTATTTTAATTAATCTGATTGGACTTGATTAGGAAACACACACACCCATCTGTAGACGTCACAGTTCATATCAGAGTAAATCATGAGGTGGAAGGAACTGCCCAGTGACTCAGAGACAGAACTGTGGCAAAAGATCTGGACAAGGGTCCACAAGAACTTCTGCAGAACTCCAGGATGCTATACAATTCAATGAAAAAAACTTATTTTTATATATTTATATATATGTTTCACAGAAAAGCATAGTCATGCTTAGTAAAATTTAAAAATAAGCTTAAATAAACATCCAGCTGCTTGTACCAACGACACAAAAAAATATTAACAGTTTTTATCTTCAGTTATGAGCAAAATCCTAACTTTCAAATCTATCACATTTCTTCTGGATGCAGAATTTTTATTGTTTAACTTACAATGTTCATATTTGACTCTGCAGCAGGTTGGGCCGACACCCAGAAAGCTTTGAGTGTGTGTGTGTGTGTGTGTGTGTGTGTGTGTGTGTGTGTGTGCGTGTGCGTGTGTGCGTGCGTGCGTGTGTGTGTGTGTGTGTGTGTGTGTGTGCGTGTGCGTGTGTGCGTGCGTGCGTGTGCGTGCGTGTGCGTGTGCGTGTGTGTGTGTGTGTGTGTGTGCGTGCGTGCGTGCGTGTGTGAGGCATTGTTAAAACATCGCATTATGCAGACATTTACAGGAAAATGTATTTTTGACAGAAGGAGTTGTTTGTGAAGACAAAAAAAAACCCATGTGGAAACAACAAGGGCTAATGGAAAAGAAGCAAAAGAAATCATTTGTTGGTTGTCAGAGGTAATTTACTAACATGAAATGTAAAATGAAACCAAAAGGTGCAAGAAATTCAATTTCACATCAACATAGAAGTAATTGCTTATAAATATGATTACCGTCTGTTTCTAAATATCTGTATTGTTCTGTATTTCTCCAGGAAACGTCCTCTGACACTAATTGGACGGATTAGTTGATCCATTGACTTCATTTTACGGTGTGTTGTGAAATTTACTTCTAGCTCCTCATTTAAGATTCCTTGAAATTTGTAATGTTGGAAGTAGTGTGTGAATAACCTGGGAGGCTCTCAGGCGCCAGCAGGTTTCTTATAGCAGAAGAAGTTCTTCCTCTGGCTGCAGTCTCTGACCCCAAACAGGAAGCCGCTCTTCTTCTCCAGGACGCCACACCTGCTGCCCGGGCAGGCCGGCCTGTCCGGGTACTGCACCGGTTCTCCAGCGCTCCAGACCCAGTCATCGCCCAGGTAACGCAGACCCGTCCACACCTGCAGACATGAGGCAGACAGAGTCACAGGAAGACAGTGGTAACATGCTGCCCTCATGTGGCATATTAAGAGAGAGGCTTTTTATATGCACTGCAGCCTGAAGTCACCCAAATCCAACTGTTAGTGAAATTTTATTTCTTTATTTTTTCATCATATGTGGAGGATGATAAACATAAGGTTTTGAACATCTTATGGTCAACATTTGATGTTGAAGATGTTCTGATGTTGAACATCTTCTACATTTTATTTTGAAGGACTTTGATTGAGAAGTATTTTCATAATTGACATCCTAAACGGTATAAAAAAATGAACTGTTACCAGTAGTGGACTTTTTTTTCCATTTCAATGCAGTTAATTCAGCAGTAACTACATCACATTTATATAATATAAATGTATTATAAATAATACATTTATGTTGTGTAAAAGAAAACTTATGACAATTGTTATGTCATAAGTAGTAAAGAAAAGTATAATACTGTTGATTGTCTTTTTGTATTGTGTAACAAAAGAATACATGATACAAATGAATTAAATTGAGTTGAATTGATAAATAACAGATTTTTTCATCATGCAAAATAGATTTTGGATTTCAAATTCAAGTAAGCTGCTTTATTTTGAGGCTCTTGTTAGGGCGGGTGATTTTTGAGAGGAGTAAACAGAATGTTATGATCCCAGGAGGGTCAGTTTGTGGTGCGTCAAGATGCACCACAAAGCAAGAGGACGAGTCGGTCAGCAGCATCGCTGCAGAGTAAACGGCAGCCCACCTCCTCAGTGGTGGCGTGTTGGGCTCTCTCTCGTGCGTAGTCGTGGTCGTCGGGGGTGATCAGGGTCGCCAGGTCGTGACTGTTTCCTTCTTTCAGAGACCTGCAGTGCTCCAACGCCTCCTCCCACGTCTTATTCTCCTTCACCAGAACCAGCTCCTCGTCATAACACATGCACGTATGTGAAACGTCACATCTGTCAGTCTGCCATTTGGCTTGGTACTGGTAGACACAGTGCTGCCCGTCTATTGGTTCTGCAAACAGTTCAAGGACGAGGATTCTAGTAAATCAGTTATTTGGATCAGAGACAATCTGATGTCATCATCAGCGCTGAGGCAGGTGGCTGTGCAACGGGAGGCAAATTAATTTCTTTTTCTTTAAAAATCAGTGTGTTTTTATGGATTATATTGTTTTAGATTCTTATGGTTATGATTAAGGGCTCTTCAACTGTGAAGAATGAAAGATTTCTACATGTGCTGTAGGTGCGGGAAAACCTGAAAGAATTGGCTCAAATATATAGAGCTAGATGTCTCTTAGATATCTAGTTAAGTGACATTTATAGTCAGATGTCCATTAGCAAGTTTGATTTAAATAGTTCTTTTTTTTCTCTGATCTGACTCAACGGGTCAGAACTTCTGCATAAACACTGAGTGTTACATCTACATTAACGTTTAGGAAGCTTGGCAATTATATCACATACATTTAACTTTCCTGTTTGGATTAAATACGCTTTTTTAAATTGAATTGTATTTAATTGAATAACACACACACACACACACACACACACACACACACAACACACACACACACACACACGCACACACACACACACACACACACACACACACGCACACAAAATCTGCTGATAAAATATCACGAGTTGCTCTTCTTACCAGTTTTCCAGTTGAAGAAGGTTGCGTTCTCCTCTCCATTGGACCATTTCCACGGACCGTCATCGCTCTCACGGTACAATCCGATCCAGCCTTGGCCGCCGGAATAAGCTTTCATTTCTTTTTCATTTCTGATGGTGATCAGGTCACTGTGTTTCTCTCGACAGGCAGACTGAGCCTGTTGCCAAGAAGACCAGGTAGAGTAATGTTGAAACGTTAGAATGTTGAGTCTGGTCTGTTGGCTCCTGACAGGATGAATGATCAGAACCAAGGGGACGAAGATGAAGACGAACCGAATCATGTTTCCACCGAAGGCCATCCGAACACCTGGGATCGGATATGCATGTTATTAAAGCTGATTATCTGTTATTTATCAGCTTTTATTAAAAAAAGACAAAAAACAAAAAACAAACATGTTTTTGACATATATGTTCAAACTGTCGCCATGTTGTGGATGTTCACTTTGAGACAGATATTCTCCTCCACCTCCTTCCTGAGCTGCTATTGCTGTCTGAAGAAACAGTGAGAGCCTTTGTGCTGTCAATCAACCGTGTGTACTCGCTTCTAAATTTGCTAAATAACAACTTACTTTTTCAGGAAAACCGTTCATTCATCCGTCATTGGTGGCTATGCTAATTAGCCTTAGCCTTCCTGACAGGCTCTGCCTTCAGAAAGAAGCTGTAGCATATCAGAAAGAAACGTGGGGACAGGGAAACGAGGAGCGCCACACAGAGGGTGATTGACAGCGCTAGGACGTCCTCCTGGCTCTGACTGGTTTCTAGTTAGCACTGGCAGAAGACAGAGGAGTTAGATTTTTTTTCTATTTTATCTGCCTGATATTATACTGTCTGATGACAATAGTGACAGTTTCAATAAATATGTAAAAAAAATAGATTTCTTTTAAATAATAGTTACATATTGCAACTTTAAACATTAACCTCTGAAATGTGTAAATAATAAAACGTTCCAAAAAAAAAGGAGCTCCTGGATGAGAAACAGGCACATTAATACAAAACTGCTTGTTTATGCAGGAGGTCAGGAGGAGGAGAGAGGAAAATAACATAACATCACCAAACATACTTAGATCCTCCAGATTGCTCATAATCTGTGAGCGGTTCAGCGTGTTCTCTGAGTGTTTGATTTAAAACCCTCATGAAGTTTGACTTTCAATCGTAAAAGAAAACTTTAACTCTGGCCTTTCCTAAAACCCCTACACACACAGCATCAGAACCAATCTGAAATCAATATGGATTACATCAATTAACAAACATAAAACAAATATTTCATTGGTGATCATGTCTTTAAGAAAGTTTTGAAACATTCTGTCCTTCTGCCTGCTCCACTGACACTTTATCCAGAATCCTAAATCATACGTCTGCACTCACCTTGGGCTGGAGAGGTTTTTTGCGGCTCTTCTTCTGGTAATGCTGATTCTCCGTGTTTACACCCAGTAAAAAGTCTCCGCTGACCAATCACAGAAGTGCACAAAAAAAATAATATGCAGATTACCCCGGCAACCACATCACTCACCAAGCTGCCTCTACGGCCTCTAACTTCTGTTTCACCCCTTTAAACCAAACTGTTCACATACTGTAGTGTTTGTGACAAGATTCCTTATGTATTTATTTTAATTGAAAGGTTCTTTTTTTATGTCCAGAATAAATAGAAAACGCAGTGACCTCGAGCAGCATGTGGAGAAGCTAGTTGGTATCAGGACGGCTTCATCCTGCAAAAAAGACGCCTGAAGATGATATCCTAATTATTTAATTGGCTTTATTAAGTTAGGGATGCACTTAATAGACTGATTGGACTGATAAAATAGTAGCATGTCTCTGTATGAGTGTAAACTTCTCATTATTTGTGTAGGAAAAAGTGACATTCAAATGAGCTGCTGCCTTGCGGCAAGAAGCTCCTTCGTTTCCTGCTTCACTAAATCCGTCAGGATTAAGTCAGACAAACAGAGTTCCCAATCAATCCTGTCACATTTCAAAACACGCTCTTGAAACTTTTACTTATAAGCTACATCCGTAGGACCTTTAGTTGAACATATTTTGTTTTTCTTCATATTTCACTCAAGGTTTCCTACCAGAAAACCTGCTGAGCCCAGTGAGAGGAAGCACTGCTGTGTTTCTGAGACAGAAAAAAATGGTTAAAGTTGACAGGAAATTTGGAAAATATCAGTTGTTATTCAAAGATACTGATAAAACTTAAACTAGAAAGACTTGGGGGGCGGGGGAAAAGGCAAATGAAATAAATATGATTTTTATAATGTGTTTTGCTCTTTGGTTCTTTGATTGTTTCATCTTAGTTATAATGTCCAAAATGTTTTGATCCTTTACATGTGACTTGTTTGTCACATACAACTGTTTTTTAGTTGAAGTTGTCAGCATGTAGACCGTTAAAGACAGGAAATAGTTCCAGAGTTCCAGAGAATGAAGTAAAGACTCTTTAACTCGTCTTTGCCGTCTGGTACTGGTGTGCAGAAAAATAGTAATCACAAAAAAACAGCAATGCTCAGCCTGTCGGTTGTCTGGGGAAACCACGTCACATATCGGTGTCCAGAGATTAAATGTGCTGTAAATTTTTGATTAGCCTTTGATTTCTTTTGGCCAACAAAGTATTTCTTTTAATCCTTCAAGATTTTGTTTTTATCAACCCTGAAAATATAGTTTTCTTGTGAAGGTTTTTTCTTTGCAAATCGACCTTGCATGTCTCGAAGATCAAATTGTCTTTGTCGGTTTTGAATGCTGTGTTTGAAATGGAAAGCATATACAAATTTCTTCATTCCTTTGAGATGTACAAGACACGGCATTTGTTAAGCAGATATGTTCTCATCCTGTCTTTACGCCCAGGCCAGTTTCTCTCTGTGGCCAAATGCCACAAGTTCGCTTTAGGTGCCTTTTTTTCATTTTACATCACTGAGTTCAATTTTCAGTGAAACTCCAATCTTGTGAGATTGTGGCTGTTTGACAGCGATAGGCATATAGAAAAAGCACAAAGTTTCTTTGTGTGTCAAGTTGTAAGTGATGATGGATAAATCAATCAATCAATCTATCTATCTATCTATCTATCTATCTATCTATCTATCTATCTATCTATCTATCTATCTATCTATCTATCTATCTATCTATCTATCTATCTATCTATCTATCTATCTATCTCTATCTATCTATCTATCTATCTATCTATCTATCTATCTATCTATCTATCTATCTATCTATCTATCTATCTATCTATCTATCTATCTTCTATCTATCTATCTATCTATCTATCTATCTACTATCTATCTATCTATCTATCTATCTATCTATCTATCTATCTATCTATCTATCTATCTATCTATCTATCTATCTATCTATCTATCTATCTATCTATCTATCTATCTATCTATCTATCTATCTATCTATCTTCTATCTATCTATCTATCTATCTATCTATCTATCTATCTATCTATCTATCTATCTATCTATCTATCTATCTATCTATCTATCTATCTATCTATCTATCTATCTATCTATCTATCTATCTATCTATCTATCTATCTATCTATCTATCTATCTATCTATCTATCTATCTATCTATCTATCTATCTATCTATCATCTATCTATCTATCTATCTATCTATCTATCTATCTATCTATCTATCTATCTATCTATCTATCTATCTATCTATCTATCTATCTATCTATCTATCTATTCATTCATTCATTCATTCTCAGGTCAATTTGTTCTTCCTCCTTTGTGACATCATGTGTTCAGGTACAAATTAACATCTTGATCCAGTCAACTTTTCACACCCAAAAAGTCAAAAACAACTGACCAAAACTGTGAAAGCAGGAAATGGCGACAGATTGGCACAATCAGTAACTGTCTAGACGACATGTCTCCATAGGACATGGTGTCTTTTTTAACAGCTGCTGTGGTTCTTTTGATGTTTTCCTCTCACTGAATCTGAAAATGGCAAACCGTGAATCTTCCACCCTGAAGAGTGTTGTTAGAGAAACCTGGTAGACATGAAGTGTGGGGCACTCAGAAACGGAAAAAACATGATGTTTGTAAGTTTTCTACCACAGCTTATTTATTATTAACAAATAATTCAGAGGATTTCATTAACATAATACTTCACACAATTTTATGTATTTAAAACATGTTATGATCTAATTAAAATATAAGAAAGTCAGTGTATGAGCCAGTACAATTTTGCACTCTGATTTTTTTGGTAAAAATTAAACATAAGATTACATGAAATTTATTATCTATTGCAACATGTTACCAGAGTGTGTCCATGTTGAGTCAAACCAAAAATATTAAAGTGCATCACACTTGTTAGGTTTTATAGAAACTTTTCAGTCAAGAATGAACCTGTTCTAGTTTAAATAATTTATATTTTAAGCCACATATGTACAAAAGCAGTAAAATATTAGCACGGTGGGGCAGTATTATGTATTCTCCAGGAACATTCACACAATCAAGTAACCATGTTGCCTTCAGGTACAAAAATGCTACACATTTCAAATATGACTTTAAAATTTATTTGACTTTGCAATTTAACATCTTGAAATTGGGTCTCTGTCTCTTTAAAAGCTCCTGCTCTTTTTGGAACTCTGCCTTCAGGAAATCATCACAACATGGCTCCTCTGTTAACCTTTAGCCATGTTTTTACCAGCCTTACACTGACAAGTGGCTTGTATGACGAGCTCAGCAGATGTATAGTTCCACCAGGTGTGGACCTGTAAACTCAGCAACTCAGCAGCCATGTTTCAACAAAACCCTAAACTGCATATCCAGAATCCATAATATATCATCATCTACATTAATAGAGCAAGTAGAGTTCATTGAATACAAAGCTTCTAACATGGCTTATTCTTGTCATCCATCCATCCATCCATCCATCCATCCATCCATCCATCCATCCATCCATCCATCCATCCATCCATCCATCCATCCACATCCATCCATCCATCCATCCATCCATCCATCCATCCATCCATCCATCCATCATCCATCCATCCATCCATCCATCCATCCATCCATCTAGTTTAAGTTGGATGAATGAAGATCCTCTTTTCATAAGTTTTTCTGTATAATATTAGATTTTAAATAACAGAAGAAGTTCCTTCTCTGTCTGCAGTCTCTGATCCCAAATGATGACTTTGCCGTTCTTCTCCAGGACTCCACACCAGACGCCCGGGCAGCTTGGAATGTCCTGGTCCTGCACCGGTTCTCCACCCACCCAGAACCACTCATCGACAAGGTAACGCAGGCCCGTCCACAGGCAGCAGGGAGGTCAACGTAAAAAACAGAGGGTGAGCTGGTGAACAAAAGCACCACAGAGCAAACAGCGGTCGGCCCACCTCCTCAGTGGTTGCCAGTTGGCTTGTCTCTCGGGCAAAGTGGTTGTCGTCGGGGGTGATGAGGGTCGCCAGGTCGTAGCTGTGGACTTTGTCCAGAGTCCTGCAGTGCTCCAACGCCTCCTCCCACGTCTTATTCTCCTTCACCAGAACCAGCCCGTCGTCATGGCAAATGAAGACACGTGTTGCGTCACATGGGACACTTACCCACTTTTTAGTGAACGGCCGCTGATAGACACAGTGCTCGTTTCCTAACGGTTCTATAAGAAAAGGAAACAGATGTAAGAGTGTGTACGGTTTCATTAGACCTGAAGAATAAATCCTCCTGCAGTCTGGAGCAAGATTCTGCCAGAGTAGAACTTCAAAACAGTCGACAAAAAAAGAAACACTCTTGTCTTATTATCAAGTCTATTAAGCCTCTACCTAATAAACCTACGGTACATTCTCACACATTTTGTATGGAAACCTTTTAAAGAGTTTACCTGGAAAAATATTTCTTAGTTTATCACAACAGAAGTTATATTATGTTAGACATTTTACTGATAAAATATAAATTCCTGTGGACATAAACAGATATAATTTATATAGGCAAACAAAGATTGACTTATAATTTGATTTCAACTCCCTCGTCTCACTGAGTATTTGGACAAAGAAAATAAGAGTTTGGAAAATTATATGTACAATCAACTCTGTATGTTTTTCCAAAGCGAGCCTGGAAACAAAAAAGCTCCAGCCCAACATGATTACAGATGCCTCTGCAACATTCACTGTGCAGAATTCATCTCTCTCACCATTTTCTTCCCAGTTGAGGAAGGTTGCCGCCTCGTCTCTTCTGGACCATTTCCAGTCGCTCGTGTTGTTGTCTCTGTGCAGTCCAATCCAGCCCCTGGTACCATCCAGCACCTGAATGTCTGTTTCGGACCTGATAGTGATCAGGTCAGTGTGATGCTCCCTGCAGGAGGCCTGGGCTTCGCTCCAGGGTTTCTGTATTTCATAAAATGTAAAGCTTCCTTCTCTGAGGCCCAAATGCTGCCCAGAGGCAAAGTAAAGGACAGACATCAATGGGACAACGACCATGGTCCTCATAATGTCTCCGCCTGGAATCAGATCAGCATAATGATTATCAATCAGTCAATCGATCAAGCTTATTTGCAAAGAGCAGTTCATGAACAAGGCAGTTCAAATTGCTTTGCATCATAAAAACACAAAAATACAGTCAGAACAGTGAACTGTTGAAACATTACATTTTGCCAAGTATCATTGATACACATCAGTGCTTCATTTTTAGTGGTTCAAAAACAACTAAACAGTTCAGTTTTTAGTCTAGTTGAAAGGAACTCATCGTGTTTTGGCTGCAGTTTTCTGGAAGTTTGTTCCAGATTTCAGATGCATAGAAGCTGAATGATTCTTCTCCATGTTTGGTTCTGGGGATGCAGAGCAGAACCAGAACCAGAAGACCTCAGGAGTCATGGACTTTCACCTAGGATTACATGTGGGACTTTTGGAGTACCTTCTGGATACCTTCTCGGACTTGACCGTATCTTCTCTCTACCTGAACCTGTTTTTGCACAAATTGCTAGCTAATGTAATCTTACAATAACTAAACAAGTTATCCTGTACACTGTAAGTAATCCATAGATAGTATAGACATCAGTAAATGTTCATACTGCACATTAGTAATCGGTCATAAAAGTCGCTCTTTGTCTTCACCTTCTAGTTTTTTCTCAACAAACCTGCCTGACTTTTTAAGACTCCATTTATGTAAAAGCTTCACTGGACGATGTCTGAACTCACCTCAGGCTGCAGCAGCAGGTGGAGAGCTTTGAATCAATGAGGTCATGTTGATTTTCTGAGTAAACTCTATAAACGGACCTAACCAACCAATCACAGCACAGCTGTATATGGAAATCAACCAAAGCAGAGAATATTGTCAAATCAGGGCCTTTGTTTTTAAGCAAAGAAAAGCCCTGAGCGACTTTAGAAGACCCTAACAGAGCCTAGAAAAAATATTTACACCTATTAAATCTTTTCACATGTCACATGCGCAAGAAACAAGCAAACTAGGCCACTGAACCAACAGGGGCCTCCCATTAATAATGTTTAACCCAGACTGTAGATCTAATATTTAATGTATTTATATAATGCATACACACTTTCTCTGAGGTCACATAAACTTGCCTTGTATCTGTTACAACTTGTTCCAATCCAAACGGCACTGAGACTCATTTCTCATTATCTTCACTGACAGTTCCCTGTTCTCTGATTTCCTATTTGTTTACTAGGAAATGAGGCCTGGCTTACTGGGAGTGATGGATGGCTTTATATGCCACTGCTCCAGATTGCTTGTTTTGCTTGAACCTTTTGATTTCTTGTTGAACTACTCCTACTAAAACACATTTACCTTTTACTGCACATATTACGTTTAAGCGGCCCTCTCTTTGTTTTCCCGGGTTCTGTTTGATCGTGGTATAATTTCCTGAATTTCAGTGCCATACTTTTGAAGACGCCTTTCAGGATATTCAAAAAAATAAAAACAGAAATTACTTTCACAGATTTTACAACTGTTCTGACTTTATTTCATTAAAACAATCTTATGTCAGAATGAATACATGTATCACTTGTGTTAGCAGCTTTTTTTAAAATTAATGTTCAAAATAGAAGAAACTAAACATTTTTCAGCAGACATCATGCAATCAGTGGAATAATTTATGTGAAAGGAGAAACGGATCGGCATGTTTGTCCAGCTGAGCTGCTGATCAGGAGTTGGCCCCAGTCCGCGGGCCCCTGATGATGTGGATCCTGGCCTCTTCATCCAGCTCCTCCACGATCCTCTCCTGTTTGACTGACAAGATGGTGTAGCTGACTGAAGGAGGGCTGGTTAAAGCAAATCTCATCAGCAGTGATCAGAAGCCTTCTATCAATGCAAACGTTTTAGAACTTTACTCAAATGTCCTGATACTGTTCAATGCTGTTTTGCACATAAAAATGAAACATTAAGGTTGATGGCACATGTGTTAAACTGAAGACCCCGAGGGTCACATTCGGTGCGCCGTAGCTTGGCCCATAGAACCTTCAAGATAACAGTTGAGTGTTTAAATATTGTTTTATCAATCAGTTTTCATCTGCTGTCTCAATCAATCACTTTTTAGCGATTCCACAGTTGTGGAAATTCATGCAAAATTCACCAGGTCGCTGCACTGATCCACACTGATGTGTTATTGTGAGTTTATTGCACAATTTATGAAAATTTTTTTTTATCAGTCTGTTCATTGTCCAGACGTGAACAGGGCGGCAGTACGAAAGTCTCTGATAGCAGCGATTAAGATTATCAATCAACGAGTTCATTTGAAGTTGATTGATTGATTAACCATTAATTGATAAGGAGCCATTATCAGCCATAACATGAAGGATGGAATTTGCTGCATTTCCCGCATCCTTTTTTTTTTGTATGCATTGATTTTAGTGAACTTGGTCAAATCGCGTAAAATGGATGTTTTAAAGGAGTAAATAACAGCTTGTAAACAGATGATGTAAACAGATGTTTAGTTGTACCAGTGATCAATAAGTCAGGACTCAAGTCTTCATCTCTGGAGCTTTTACCAGACAGCTTGTTGGACTAAAGTCTTCATGTTGCAGGGCAGGAAGTTTCCTGTCTCTGCTTTTCAACATGACGTTCAGTGAAACTTTTCACGACCACATCAAAACTGAAACATTTTAGGTTCCAGCTATTCAGAGGAATATTCCTGAACTTCCTGCTTCTCAGCCTCATCTTTTTTAACCTACAACGCCTGACCTCGGTATCACTTTAAAGCTTTTTTATTTCTTTAACATTATCACTGATAAAAGGTCAGTTTGGGCTTCCAGCTCTTCCAGACCTGTGGCTCCTTCAGTCAGCCTCTCTGTAGCCTCTCTGTGGCTGAAGTGGACGGTGAAGGATACAGATGCCCACCACCAGCGCCCCGATGCCCAAGCCGGTCAGCAGGTTCCTGCTCCGGATCCGCGCTGCGTTTTTCTGGAAGTAGTCCAGCTCCTGTCGGCGGCGGAGAAGCTGCATCTCTGCGGCCGTTGGGGCCGCTTTGGCCGCTCGACCCGGTCCTTCCTCCGCCATTGCTTGTTATTGTGCTGCCCGGAAGTTCGCGTCTTCTTCCTGTGCGTCAAGGTTCGCTGGCGTCGTTTGGGCTGCATTACCGCCACCTTCTGGCTGCGACCGTCCAGGACAGCTTGTGTTGTTTTTGTTTTCCTCTGGGGAAGTGGCTCGAGCCTGCTTTGTCTCCATGGGATACCGACATTTTTTAACGAATTATTACAAATGATTTCATTTTCAGAATGTGAGAAATACTCTGACGTCACGTGTCACTGTTTAAAAGCCGCCAGTGGATTTATTTAAAGCCATTTGTTAACTTTTGTGAACACACTGCTCCTTCATTGATTATCTTAATTTTACAATGAACTGCTATCATTAACATCTGTTTTTTTTTATGAAGTCAATATTATACTCGACAGCCAAGTTGTATTTTGGATTTGGAGTGAAAGCAAATCCATTTTTTTTCTCCTAATCCTTCAGTTTCTGTCTGAATTCTGAATTAAGCCAAATAAATACTTTTTAAAAAATGTTATGAATACATTTTATTGATTTATCTAGCTTACACCTCATATTCAGATTTCTAAATACAAAAGGATGCTGCCATTACTCTCTTTAATCTAACATCCTGCAGTCTAAGTTTGTAGCTATGTGATAAATTCCAGCTGTGTGCATTTTGCGTTTCTTCTTCCGGTTACAAACATCAAATCTAAACTGTGACATTTGTTGCTGTCCAGAACGGACCACAGACAGATGAACAGAACAACTCCTTGTGAGAAATAATTAAACCTTTCCATGTGCAAAAAAACTTTACCTTAATGGCACCTGAGTGCTTTGAGATGTGAGCCGTTTTTTTGTTTTCAGTTCTAGAATCTGCATTGCAAAGTAGCAGGGTCACATTTTTCATTTAGAAATTGAAATCTTTGGAGCTTTCATGCAAGTCCATATTTTAAATCTGTCCCCAGCTTTACTTTAGGATGAACCCAAATAAGAATATTCCTGACAGTTAGTCGGTACGCCACGACGGAGTATTAAGAAAATAATAAAAAATAAAAATAAAAAATTGCAAGAATAAAGTCATAAATTATGAAGATTAAGTAATAATATTATGAGTATAAAGTTGTACAAAAATAAAGTTGAAATAATGTGAGAATAAAGTCTTAATATTACCTCGTTACTTTAAAAATATGATGACCTTAAAATTATCACAACTTAATTTTCCTATTATTTTGACTTTATTTCTATAATGATCATCATTTTATTTCTTTCTTTCTTAATATGATCCAAATACTTTGTGAATGTCCAAAATGCAAAAGAATTTTGCAGCAAGTGTGTTATTTTTTATTAATTTTTTTTTTATGAGAAAAGTCTATGAAAGGAGAAAACGTCCCAAATCAGAATCTCGTCATGGATCTTGTAGTTGGTCTCCAAAGCCGAATGAGAAGCAGGAGTTCAGGAAGCAGCAGCAGGAGGAGCAGCAGGCTGCAGGCCGGAGGTGAGGCAGCAGCTGTGGAATGAGTCCGGGAGGTTCTTGGCGTGCTCCACCAGCGCGTACGAGTCTCTGATGTCGGTCAGGCCAAACCAGAAGACGGTCCACACTCCGTTTACAAAGCTGCCGTCGCAATGCTTAAAGTACCTGGACAGAGGAGGACAAAAGCAGGTGGAGGCTGTGATCTGATGCTTCCTGCTCAGCCCAGCTGATTGTTTTCCGGTCAGAACCCGACAACGTATTAGAACTGAACACAACATCCTGTAGAAGCGCAGCTGTTAGACTTTATCATATTTTCACAACATAATGGAGGCTTTCGAGCTCTTTGTTGTTTCTAACTTTACTGAAGCTGAGAATTCTTCACTGATTGGTTGGGATCAATCCTTACTTTTGACTCCACGTGTGACGCCTTTCCTTCCTGGCATTTTTAAACGAAGACCTGAATGCTGCAAACCAACAATCCTTTTTCTTTAAGGAACACTTATGAATCCAAAAGCAACCTCCTATAAGCTTCTGGCTCCTTCATGAGGAACAGAGCTTCAGATTAGACATTACTGCTTGAAGCAATTGATCAAAATTCCTGCTGAAGTCTGAACAGATGTCAAAAGCAGCACCAGACTGTATTTAGTGAGAGTACGTCAACTCGATGCCACGTTGATATTTTTGCATGGGACTAACCACGGGTTGATCCTGTTGGTGGCCTTTGACCTCCAGAACAGCTTGCCCAGATCCTGTCGGATGCACTCCCACAGGATGTGGCTGGTGCCCTGCCCCTGCTTGCTGCTGCTCACCACAAACTTGTCCAGGTAGGGGGTCCCACCGTTGACGGGCTCCATCGTGATGATGGCCGCCGCGCTGTAGCTGGAGGGAGGACATTAGAGCAAAAACGTGTGGTCCTTTCTCAGCATGTCGGTGCTGATCAGACACAAACAGTAACAAGAATTACAGCCACAAACCGCAATCGACGACGAGACTTTAGGAGACAGATCAACACAAATTAAGAGCAGTGTTGTGAGAGGGGAGGAAAATGGCATGTTTTCCTATCTGAGAAGTGCGGAGTGCATTTCATTTACTCGGTTGTGTTTCCATCAAACATTTTGTTTGTGTATTTTTAAGTATCACATCAGAAAAGGTTGACAGCAACAGCAACATTCGGAAGAATTTTCTCAATCTTGTATGAAAAGATTTTCCTCTCGCTTCAGCTGGGTTTTGCTTTCTCTGAAAAAGAGTTAATGAGTAAAAGGGGAGCATGGAAAGTGGAAAAGTTCAAACTTGGATGGGAGGACTCTCTCCTCATCTCCGTCAATATCCGCTCAATGCTAGTTAGCAACCTCTACTTCCTGTTCATGACGGCCATGTGAAACGTCAGCATGAGGCAAAATTACTCCATATGCCGCCTGGTCGATTTGCTCCAAACCAGAAAATGGAAACACACAGAGAGCATGAACACCAGGGAACACAACGGACAGATCAAGTGGTCCAAAGGTTTCATGTCCATTACTGTGTCTTTGCTTCGCTGTGATAGTTTCTGTCATATTTACTGGATCTATTTTTGGAGAAATGAAATGCACATTAACAGCTTGACTTTTTCCCCCCTGCACGACTTGAACGCACCCTTCAGAGAGGTAGACGCAGTGCATCCGTCCCTTCAAAGTCTCCACGTAATCCTGCCTCAGAGTTTTACCGAACGACTTGTCGATGAGAGTCAGCAGACGCTCCACGTCGATCTCATCCAGAGAGGTGTACCTGCGCGAACAGAGCAACAGAAATGCCGTGTGTGTAAGTCAGAAAGCGTATCCTTGTGACGGGGAGTTAATTTTGGATTATGATGCACGGATCAAGTTACCTGGGCTCGTGTGATATTTACTGACCTGTGTATGGGGTCGCCGTTTTTGAAAAGTGTCCCAGAACCTGACATGAAACGCAAGACAGAAAACAAATAACTAACTTAAGAAGATATTCTGCGGGTCAAAAAGCCGATGCAATCAAGCTCAGTAGCTCAACTCAGACTCCCTGCATGCTCCACACAGAGCTCTGAAACACTTCTTACTGATTATCGTTGTTTTTGCTTCTTTGTGACTCTTGCATGTTTCAGACTATCAAACAAAATGAAATCTGAGAAAAATAACCTGAGTGAATACAAAAAATATTCTTACACCGCTTTGTTTAAAATCTCAGTTTATCAGTTCCTATCCACCATAAGAAAGACTTGCATAGCTGAATTATGCCACATGAACTGATCAGTGCATCATTGCGAGAGAATGCAAAGGAAAAAAAAAAATCCTCCATGTCCACTAAGGAGCATGACTGTTCAGACAGCTGCCGCTTTGAAAACAGTCGCATACGGCGAAAAGATCAGAATGCTGTGAAAAGTCAAACATTGGTGGCCTTTGCCTTGTGCTTGCAGGCCTCACCCCGGTGGCTGAAGAGCTCGGTCAGCAGAGTGTCTGCAGAGGTGATCACAGCTGAGGACTCTGTTGGCAGATTGTTTAGCAGTCTAGCGATGGTGGTCACCCTGCGGCGCTCCACTTGGCTCAGCCACGCCGCTGCAGACAGACCGGGCAGGTCAGTGGGCAGCGACACCGTGTCCAGGACCTGTGAGAGCGGCACACGTGAGTAAGCAGTGTGAGTTCATATTCGGCATGCATGCACGAGGGCTGGTTCTGTGCCTTGCGTCTTTGACCCCGCAGGCCTCCGGAGTTGTTCAGAAACATGACTTTGAGAGGCTGCAGGGCTCGGGAAATGGCTGCCGTGACCTCCGTCGGGTCCAGCACCAGCGAGCATTCTTGTCCGTCCCTCCCAACTGGACAGACCAGTGGGATGGTGCCGCAGTCCAGACTCCACTGAAGGAGGCTGATGTCCACAGAAATGGAGTGTGGAGCACTGCAGAGGAAAGGACAGAACAGTTTGTGTGGGGTCTGCAGTGATGCTACGCTTCCTGACCCTTGACCTGCACAAGTCAAGGGACGGTAAGTCCTGATGATCTGCTCTGCAGACCCGGTGCAGAAATGTTTGCAGTCATTCATTAACTCTTCATCTTAACCGGAGACAGAACAGGACGAGTCCACATGCAGTCGGGTATTTGGGAAAACTAAAACATTTTTATAAACTTTGACCTTCCATCCACACAAAAACTTTGTGGGATATCTTGAAGGCAAAATGATTGCATTATCATTGTTACATCATGGATAATCAGGTCCTATAACCGTCACAGACTCTTTAGTGGCTGTAAAACAAGTTTTGTCCTAACCTGCTGCCTTGTGGTGCCTCATGCAGCTGCAGGAAGGACTCTGCAGAGAAGAATGGTAGGACAGTTGCTGAGTGTAGCTGCAGAGCTTCAGTGAGCTGCTGGCAGCGCTCCACCAGCCCTCTGGTGCACCACGACCCAGCAGCTGCTTCTCCAGACCCTGACTCCTGGTGGTAGGAGCAGCCCATCACCACCACAGGCTTCATGTCCATCCGCTGCAGGAAGGACAGGCCAAAGGCCAGGCTCTGTACCAACTCCCTGCTTTGGAATACCAAGTCGTCCACCTCGAAGAGACACAAAAATGTTTAGAGTTCAAAAGTAGGAAGCACTTTGTACTTTGGTCACTGCAAAAGGAATAAAATCAGGTGCTTTTATTTTGATTTCATTTTTGTGCAGATAAGTCATTTAAAAACAGTCAACTTTAAGCCGTGTGTTTCAGGAAGTGTGTCCTATCGCCACAAACGGTCCTGACATTTTGGGTTATTTTTTTTTTCTACATGTCTACAAATAATACCATAAACATATTTTAAAGTGCTAACAAACTCATTTTGCTTTGGAATTCCATTTCATTTTGTGTGGAACTTCATTTATTTCTGACTCTGAGCAGGGACGTTCCCTGCAGGACCGGTCTGACGTTTGGGTCAGAAGGTGACGGTCCACTCGGGCCAGGGTGCAGTTATGGTACTGGCGGGTTTGATCACTGCTGCATGGCACTGCTGCAGTTTCATTTCAACATGAAACTGCTTCCCTCTGACTACATGTGACTGACATCTGCAATTAAAACATGAAACTGTGGAAGCAACACAGCTAAATGTGAAAATAATAATAATAATAATAATTTTTTCCCAAACAGAAAACTAGTGGTTGAGTCAGAAACTGAGCTGAGAAAGAAATTATTACACTGTTGCTATGAGAAACATATAAAAAAACTATTCTTGTGTATAGAAAAAAACAAAATAAAACAAAAAAAAAAAAAACATGGTTGAATCTTTAGAAAGCTGTTAAACTGCAGATAACAAATGTAAAATAAATAGTGCAATATTTTAATAAACAATAACTAATGAAAAGGAACAGATGTGTGAAAACTATTTTGCATATTTTATAAGGTCCAAAAATGAACACATAAACAAATAAAGTCCAGTTTACCTCCAGCACAGCGAAAGCAGGAGACTGGGATAAGTTCGCTCTCTGGAACTGGGCCAGCCAGTACCGAGCCTCGCGCGGATCCCCCCCGACCTCGCTCAGGAAAGCCTTCACGTCCCGATAAATCAAGTTCCGGTTCGCCAGCGCGTGCCGGTCCGCGGCGGAGAAGCAGCCGGGACTCTCCTGCTGACCCGCGGCCGCGGCTCGCCCTCCCACCGGGGCCGCGGTGGAGCTCCCTGTCCGGCGCTGAGCGGCGCACAGCGGCCCCCGCTGCGGACTCGAGGCCCCGGGGGGCCCCGTGGAGCTTCGGCCGGGACCGGACAGGTACTTCCCAGCCAGCACCACGGCCCGACAGCCAGCGGAACCACTACTGATTTTGGACATGTGGAGAGCTGGGACCGACCCGCAGGCCTGTGCGGAGCAGCGGGGTGTGTGTGTCGCTGTGTGTGTGTCGCTGTGTGTGTGTGTCGCTGTGTGTGTGTTGCTGTGTGTGTGTGTCGCTGTGTGTGTGTGTCGCTGTGTGTGTGTGTTGCTGTGTGGACACCGACAGCTGCTCCATTCAGCGCGGCCTGCTGCTGCGTCAGCATTTCTCATGTTTCAACTGACCAGCAGGAGTGGGGGGGCTGAGGCCCTGAGGGGCCTCCTGTATTTGGCCCTTTACAGGAGGGCCAAACACCAAATGTTGGAAATGAAACAAAAAGCGCCAGATTTGTCACTAAGATGCAACTTTATTCAAGGCCTCCATTGTTATCAGTTCTTTTGAAAGCTGTGGAAAAAGCACATGAATTCACATTGAGCAAGACTTTGACAGGCCAGGTGTGTCCTGTATAGAACAGAACCTTCAATCTGAGCTCTGGATCTCCACAACTCCTGAACAGAGTCAGTCACTTGACCCATTCAGCTGCTGCTGTCATTGATGCTTACCTTCACAGTTTTGCTTTTCTTCTCCATTTTCAGACGACGGATTGAGATATTCAGATGTTGGGGACTTTGTGTTGTGTCCCTGACCTGTCTGCCGTCTGTGTCCCTTCATCTCGCTAACAAACCTCTGACCCCTTCAGGGGACAGCTTGGTTTATACGGAGATCACATGTTGGATACTTATGATGAATATGATGACTTTGGGTTCTTCCTTAATCTGACATCAGCCATAATTGCATGGTTTAGATTTTTTTTTTTTTTTTTGCAAATAAATTTAAGAACTAATATGTCATTTTCCTTCCACTTTGTAAGTATTCACTGCCTTGCATTCACTGAGAACTCTAATTGAATCTAGATAGATATAATGTAGAAAGTGAAGAAGTTTCTGGCTACTCTTTGACAGTATGCTGGAAGAATAGGATTTAGTGTTTTTTCACTTATTAAGAATTAAACTGTACAAGTCATTTTAATGGACTTCTTGCACTCCAGTCCATGGTGTACCATGTGTCCATCCCAATGACCACCACCATCCTGCAAGGACAAGCAGAACTAGACGATGGATGGATGGATGGATGGATGGATGGATGGATGGATGGATGGATGGATGGATGGATGGATGGATGGATGGATGGAAACAATGATACTTTAACACAGGTTAGAGCAAAACAAGGTTAAGGACAATGAAGATCTCATTTAACATACATGCAGGGTTTGATGAGATACTAGAACAAGGAAAGCCTGTATTCTCTCCAGATGACCAGTCCAGCATCGGTCAAGAATCTCATTTTGATTTTGATGTTTGGTATTTCAAGCAAAATACTTTTCCTAGGGATGTTTCCATTTTAATGACACACAATACATTTAAACTCAGTGCTAAGTGAAGAGTCTGATGATGACCATCTTGGCTTTAATGATCATGTTGTTGAACCTGGTAATGAACCACATGATGAACTATCTTCAGAGAGACTTTGACAGGGCCACAGCTCCTTTCCAGAATGTTCATGACAAAAGCCTCACAGATTCTTCAGCAACCAGAGGAAACCCTTCAAGCTCAAGTCGTTAGTGACCCCATGGCTTCTTGTTTGGAAGACAACTCTGACCCAGAGCAGGTACTGAATGATGAGTCCCTCAGCGACACACTGAACTGTCAGTCTGATCTGCTGCCTCAGAGTCCTCTTCACTTTGTGCCTGAAACAACTTTGGTCTTGCAAAACTCGAGCATTTTTAATCAAATGAAAGCAGTTTCCTCCGACCCCAAGTCAGATTCCTGCTTCCTAAGAACACAGCAGAGAAGGGTACCGGTTCTGGTGTAATCAGAAACGTCTACAGCAGCTTAATTCCAATTTGCGCAATTTCATGGATAATAGAAACAGAGCTGGTGATGTTGGGTCTCAGGTCAGTGTTACATCTGCAGTCTTATATAAGTGGCAGCAGCGGGCGTGGTCTCTGGAGACCCAGACAGCGTTTCTGTTCAGCACGCTTCTGCTGTGTCAGCGTTTGTCACATTTTGACAAACTGAGGTGGGAAGTAGAGGTGTGTGTGTGTGTGTGTGTGTGTGATGGGGTGTTCACTGCAGCTATTGCTTCAATTGGTAACAAGTAATTCAACGAAGCTTATCCAACTTGACTGTTTCATTTGGTTTCAGTTGACAAATTTAAGTCAGGCTCAGTAAAATCATTTAGTTTACTTCAAATGAAGAAGTAAACTAATAAAGGACCTTTTTTTTAGCTCAGGTGGCCTTTATTGGAGAGTAATTAGACAGGAAAGACATGCAGTAAAGGTTATCAGGCTGAGAATGGATCCTGCGACGGTAGTTTGGAGGACTGAGGTCTCCTTATGTGGGTTGGGCTGAACCGCTGCGCCACCACAGCACCCTGGCTGGTTCAGGATCTGTCCGTGGTGAAGCTTCGTCATGTGGACAGACTTAGGCTACAAACACGGCTTTGAACTTAATTGTTTCAAGAAAAGCCAAAGTAAAAAGTTCCTCTTCCTTACAAATGTGTAACTTTTAAATTACTTCCACACAAGAAAGTAAGTCGTCGACACTAAACCGAAAATAATGAAGTGAGATTAACGTAAATAAGTCCATAAAATGAACAAATGCACTTCTTAGAGAGCCCACGTGAGCCGTCTTCTTCAGGAGTTGACTCCTAGGGTCCCGGCTTTGGCTGGAGGCGAGACCTGCTACGTCTGACTGGTCTTACATAACCTCACCAGCTCCATCTCCTTTCCCACCAGAGCATTTGCGTCTTTTAAGAGATGACCTGGTCGAGGTCACGCCCTGCCTCCTGAAACACCCAGACTCCACATGGGCCCACGTGGAGGCAGCTTTGTGATCACGGTGCCATGTGTCAGACGACCCGGTGCCCCCTGACAGAACAGAGTTGTGTGCAGTGTGTAGGTGGCTGTGGTCCTGCTGGGGTCCTGGATGATGGTTAGGTTTGAAGAAGCAGAGGGTGTGGTGACCACTCCAGTGGCGCCTGTGTGTGTGTGTGGGCGTGTGTTTTTTTTTTTTTTTTTTTTTTTGGGGTGGGGCGGGGGTCTTCTGACGATCTGCATGCAGTCACACTGCAGTGGGCAAACAGTGGAACCCACCACAGTGTTTGTGCAAACTGGTAGGATGAAACCCCCCCCCCCCCCCCCCCACACACACACACATGCACACACACACCCCACACACACACGCATGTTAAGTTTGCTCGGTAAAAGACTCAATGCATATTTTTAAAAATCCATTGGAGAAGTTATTTGTTGTTTTATTTCAGATTCGTGGAATTGTTTTCACTTCCGACCTCCCACTGGAGATGTCGACTCATTTTTTTTTTTTTTTTAGATCTCAGACTAAAAACAACAAAAACACAAACAACAGTTCGTTTTGTTATATATATATATATATATATATATATATATATATATATATATATATATATATATATATATATATATATATATATATCAAGTCAACAACTGAAGATTTTAATTCCATCAATGCTTCTCTGCACATTTAGCTGCACTCACAAACCATGACCGCCGTATTCGTCGGCCATGACAGATGAAATAGCTCGAGCTGGACCTGCAGTGATGGATCTTTGCAGGACATAAATGCGCTGAGTCAGCTGGTCAGTTCATGCGGCTCATTGCTTTCAGCCCGGTGTATTTATAACTCGCTCCGGTTGTCACTCTTTGATGATATCATGCCTGTCTCATTTTCTTCCCTATCGCTGTCTGCCATCAGGCTGGATGACTGCATCTCCCCCTGGCTGCCTTCAAGCCATAACGCACGGTGCACACGCACACACACACACGCACACGCACACGCACACACGCACACACACACACACACACACACACACACACACACACACACACACACACACACACACACACACACACACTCATGCACGCATGCACACACAGAGTGGGGGCAGTGCCGGGGTGCACGTATACTGTATAATCTACAGGAAGTGATTAAAGGGTGTGTGATCAAAGGTTTCGTATGAAGGGAAAATGTTTCTCCCCCTGTGGAGCCTCAGGGCAAAAGTCAGCAGCTTCCTCGTGTTTACCACTTCATCACTCAACACGTAAAGAAAAACACACGTAGATGCAGTTTCTATTTTCATTCAGGAAAATGTAATTTAACCTCAATAGGTCTTTATTTTAATGTGTTTTTTAATCAATAATCAAATAGGCCAGTGATTATTATCACTGGCCTATTTACTCAGGATGTTTGATTTGATGTGTAAGGCTTTGATATCTATACTAACCCTATCCCCTAGTATAACTGGAAGATATATTAGATTTGAAAAGTAAAACACAACTAAAAACAATAAACGAAACAGAATTTGAAAATACACACAATCGAAACCATACATAAAATGGATTATGATGTCTCCGTAAGCCAAACTGGCCTTCAGGAATATTATTCAGGATGGGAATGTCCAGGATCACACAAACTGGTACCAAGAGTCTCAAGATGAAATGGAAGAGGAAGTAACTAAACAGAGAAAATAATTCCATAAATAATTCTCTGTGACTACAACATGTAGTGAATTCCACTTTCACTTAGTGATTTTCGTGTCAGATTATTTCAATGCTTATTAAGCAACACGTTTAAAGAGGCCGAAATTTAAGCATGCAAAATCCTGCGAGCACTTGAAGGAAGCTTGAAATTATTTATGCAGTTTGAGAAATGATGTTGATGTGTTATCTGCTGCTTGATGGACACACAGAATGAATGAATAAATCATGAATAAATCCTGGTGTGACATTTTTGAACTGAATTTTAACCAGGAAATGAATTTGGTTGCAGAAGCTGCTGAGAAACAAACTCAAATCAGAAAATGCTTGGTTTTCACTGCCTGCTTTAACCTGTAGAGGGCAGTGGTCACCACCGACTGCACATGAATGCTGTGTGTGTGCGTGTGTGTGCGCATGTAGGGGTGCGTGTGTCTGCCTGTGTGCATGGTGGAGCTCCACACCCCTTTCACAGACAAAAAAAAACAACAGAATTTATGACTGAGTCAGAAGGATACGTGAGGTAAACTGAGCAGCAGTGAC